TTATGATGATCCTGAGTTAGTCGCTGAACAATTGATTAGCAAATTGACCAATGCAATTAACGACAGAAAAATTATAATTAATAAGCCTAGAGCACACTGTAATATTAAACCTTGGATCACTAAGAGACTATTGCTTTGCATGTAAATTATCTACAAAAGATAAATAAAATTATATAATAAACTATACATTATTTTTATTGCATTAAAACTGCGCAAAACGTTACCACTTCAGCCTGCTGTTAATGCTAGACGAAGAAACTTATTTGTACCAAAACAAAACTCGGAAGCATATTTTCCCATCGTCACTATATAATACAGTCTGCCCATATTTACAACCAACAAGGATGGTCCCTATTTCTGATATAGATTTATGACAACATATAAGATATAAATAAAACTATCTTTCATTTTATTTTTATTTTCATGCAGTTTAAGGTTCCTTACCTAAAGGGAGAAACAGGAACCCTATAACTAAATCTTCGCTGTCTGTCTGTCACCAGGCTGTATCTCTTAAAACCGTGAAAGATGCACAGTTTGAAATTTTCATAGATGATGTATTTCTGTTGCCGCAGCAACAAATACTAAAAACCAGAATAAAAAAAATATCTATCTCTCTTATATTGATAACAACAGGTAAGCTTTTGAAATATTTACAGAATGTGTTTTATATAGTAATTTTAAAATAAATAATTAAATCAACAACTAACAAATATTAAAGGGGGGGGGGGCTCCCATAGAAAAAACGTGATTCTATTGGCCCGTTTCCGGTGCAGAGGCTTTCGTGCGCGAGTCCGATTCACATTTGGCCAGTTTTTTGTTCATTACAATCACCCTTTTTTTTCTGACCCATATCATATTTTCATTATTACAGTATTAGAGTTTCTTTTTTTACCAAACTGAATGAAAATTACAAATATTAATCAAAAAGATTTTTGTCCTTAATCGTTTCTTAGTATTTCACATTCACACTACTCATAAATATTATGCTTGCAAGTTTGTATACTGCTACTCGGCTATTTAAAATTTATTCCAGAATATTTTTAATACGTCCGTCGTTTAAACCAAAGCTAAATTAGTTTATATCACCGTCGAAATTTTGCTTGAGCTACACTAACGTTGTAATGAAAGCCCGTTGCAGCTCACGATGCCATAGTACAGGCGGGGTTTTAATTTTATCACTACTTAATTTATGTGCACGTCGAAAATTGCTTTGTAGACATTTTCAGTTAATTTGCTGAATAAGAAAATAATGACATAAGATATTACATTAAAATGGGATGTGATAAAAGTGTGTGTGCATAGAACGGAGAAGTTGAGAGCAAGTTTTGTTTGTGTTATTAAATTTAAATTAGTGGATTAGTGGATTTAGTGGATTATTATAGATTTTTTTTAAACATGTTTTACTTTAAACTTTTATGTTTCCATGGTTAAGTAATCTAACATAAAGAACCGTTGTTATTCGACGACGACGTTTAATTGCGAGAAATAGGTGAATAAACACAATTACTAATGCATTATTAATCACTTATAAAATAAGGAGAGTCTTTTTTTGGGATTGGTTAAAAAATTATGAAGCCGAATTATTATTACCAACAATATCGAAGACTGAGCAGACATATTTTGATTAAGACAAATTGTGAGAAGTACAAAAATAAATAGATATTAAAAACATGCCTTGTTTGTGAATAACATTAAAATATGATTGAAATAAAAATTACCGCATTGGCCATATCTGTTCATGTCGGTGAATTTTTATTAATTATCTGGAACATACTAATCATAATTCCCAAGCGAATAAGAGTTTGAGTCGGGCCAAATTATGCAATTAGTCTGTTGGAACGGTAACCGCAAAACCTGGTATGATCTTTTAAGCTAAATTAAGCTCTACCTAATAAATTCACGTTAGTAGCTAAATTTCGCATATAATATTTGAAATTTAGCTACTATTACCCTAATTTAGCTAGGGTTTATTGCTCCGAAAGAAACATATGGAAACAATACTAATGAGGATATGTTTCATTACTTCATCTAGCTAGATTCATTATTTATATTTAACAGTTCCTTTAATAAATAAGACCGAATACATAATTGATTCAATATTTCCACTTGAATAAAAAAAAAATTAAACCACCAACCCCAGATTCCATCACATCTCGGTGTACCTTGGACTAGTTAATATTTTATGCATTTTTATAAGTGATCAATTCACTACTATTTATGTACACACTATTTTATTCACAACGCAGCACAAAATAAATTTTTATTCCAGATCTAAATATATTTTTTCTATTACTGTTTAGTTCATTTTAACATGTTTACGTCACAAATGAATGCATTGAAGCCTATAGCCGCAATTGCGTATATTGGTTCCATAAAATCGGACCCCTGTACATAAATGACCGACAGCGTAATATACAATGTTATTAATCAAGTAACCCATACATCTCGTTAGAATTTCACGTAACGCTTAAATTAATATCGCCAAAGTTACAAGCCATCTCCCATTAACGATACTGCGTGAATTATTTAAGCTTATCCTCCCATAAAGGGCCCACATCACTGCTAGAACTACTCCTACGTTAATATATCCGTACCAGGCGTGAATAACTTAATAAGTCGAAAATGCACATTTTTCAGGGCAGCCATTTCTAATTTTATTTTTTTTCTGTAAATTCAGATTTTATGTTATTAAATATTTTTTTATCTCAATGTAATTCATTTGCTTTGAGTTTTCAGATAACTTATGATTATTTAATGAATATACCCTATTTATAATAAAAAAATGACATATCAAGTTGTTCACCAATGAGTTATCAAGTTATTCACCTAAGTACCTACTGTAAGTACGTATGTAAAAAAATAAAAGTAATAAGACGTATAATCTCTGCCTGCCTCTTATGGGACTGAAATAGTGATATTATGTAAGTAGGTATGTATAGATAGTAAAAAAACTAATAATTGCAAAATAATTATTTTTATTTCAAAAACAAAGTTATCGAATTAGTTGAATTCGTCTCCCTCTCCTTCTGCATCAGGGTCTTCGAAGTCTAAATCAGGATCGATGTTGGATACGTCACCGTCAGTTTTTATGTTTTTAAAATTCGTGAAAAATAGGATCTATAAGTGGCAATAAATCCATCAAATCCTTCTTTTTTTCTTTACTTATTGGTAAAGTCTCTTTTGAAACAACATCTAATGTATAGTGTCTAAATTGTATTTACCTCTTTTCCTGTAATTTATGACTCTGAAAGGGCTTTCATTGTCAAAATTTGTCTTAAAACGTATTTCTCCGATAGGCTTCTTATACTGCAGCCATTTCACGGGTTGCCATAAAAATTTTTCACCACAAGCATCCTTTTTTTTAATAGTAAATGGACCTTTCTTCGAACTCAATTCTGCAAAATTGAGAAAATTGTCTAGTTTCATGGGTACAATGGCAAATGCGTTATTAATCTTGCAAGATCTTATCAGTTGCATCCAATCGTTAAGATGGTTTATTTTAAGCTGCGTTTTCTTTTTAGTCCTTTCAATTAGGGCATGATCCGAGTCACATTCCATGTGGCTATGTCCGCTAATCAAAAACTTATGATTGATTGTCTCCAAGGTTGGATGCACATGCAATAAATACATGAACATCATTGCAACAGCATTATTTTTATTCTGGCCACCACACGTGTCAGAATAAAATGTGACCTCTGTAACTTCACGTGGCAAATTTTGTAAAAAATGCCACAAACACGAAGCAATTTGATTCGCTCCTCGAGCACCGATGGTTTCGTCCCACATGTAACAAGTAGCTTTATCATCTCTTAAGTTATGAATCGTAAGATTGTAAGACCATAGTTGTCTCTTATAAAAAGAGACAGACGTTTTCAGGAATGGCGTAGGTAAGCATTGCTGAAGATCAAATGCATATGCTCGAAAATTTGAACTGCGCTTTGCTTCATCTTTATCCTTTCTTTTTTCTGCATAAGCGTTTTCGGCTTGTGATTGATGCTCTCTCAGCTCCACTATAAAGTTGGTCTTTTCCTCTCCTTCTGTTAACGCTATCTTTGTATTCAAAAGATCGCATGTGTGGCAAGTATCTTTAGCCGGTTTTTTGAATGATAAGTTTAAATCGTGAAAACACTGGGAATACAATTTAAGTGAAATAGGATTTGGGCAACTTTCTTTATATAAACGATACATAGCAGCTATAGAAAGGTCTGATGATAAATATTTTTTATTTGTTCTATTTCTGCAATAATGACTTTCGTAGTTTGGGAATGATAAGATGTGATCTTTAGCAGATTTTAAATTATCAACAGTCCTTTTATTTTTAGATGGCTGATGTCCTCTTGTATCAGTTGGAATGATTCCGGTTGCAGAGTGCTTCTTTTTATCCATTACAATGTTAATGAAACCTTTTGTTTCCCCAAAAGTTTTGCAAAAACAATCTTTACAAATTGGTCTGCTTTCATTTGTCACAAAATACACACGCATCTCGATGCGGTAATAACTGAACAACTTGATTTATACTATTAAAACGTTAAGAAGGTTGTTGGAATAAATCAATATCTCGTGTTGTTCGTTAATAGTTGGCAGTATTATAATGACATGTTGAGTTGTATAAATAATTATAATTTGTATGTTTTAATATCTCAAGATGTCACATTGTACCCTTTAGTAAGAGAGTTATTTAAAAATTCACATGTTTGCTGTGTGCGGTAAAACAGATCTATCGACTTAGTCATTTGTTCACCCTATAAATAAAACAAACCTAATGCATATTATACATTAAAAAAATATATATGTAAGTCGACTTATCAACCTATTCACGCCTGGTACGGATATACACTAACCACAAACTGACACAAATACCCTAAAAGGGCCTTTGAATGAATTTTCGTCATATCCAAACTGACGACTTCAGGTTCCTTTGTGTTCATTTAATTAAACATCTTTCTATCTAATCTCTTATCTTACTTAAATATGTGCTTTGACGTAGATAATGTAACTAGATACGTTAGTGAGACAAATATATAAGTCTAATGCTTCTTAATTTCAAGAAAAGTTTGAATACTGTTAGCCTGTCTTTATTATAAATAGTAATAATAAATAATCCCATTACACTTTAGTAAAATTAGTTTGCTTTGTTGCAGGTACCAGAAGACAGTATAGCTGCTATGAAATGGACATTCGAACGTTACGAAGAGGGTGCTGGATGATTTTATTGTTAGTTGATTTAACAGAAAGTGATTGGCTAAACTGCGGAAACTTAGAAGAATGTCATTGCAAATGGTCTTCTGGAAAAAAAACTGCCTCGTGTGTTTCCGCTGGTCTCACAAATATACCTCATTTGGCCACCGACATACAAGTCTTAGACTTGCATGGGAATCAGTTGAAGTTATTAGGACAGGACGCATTCGCCAGTATAGATTTATTAAATCTTCAACGTATTAATCTCAGTTCCACTAACCTGCACTCTTTGCATCCTAATGCCTTCAGGGAGCTGCGGATACTAATTGAGTTAGATCTCTCCCAAAACGAATTACACCAAATATCACCTGACACATTCCGTGGCAACGACCGTTTAAAACTGCTGGTTCTTAATGACAACCCATTAACAACCCTAGTAGCTGAACAGTTTCCTCCGTTACAACATTTGAAGAAATTAGAGCTATCAAGATGCCGATTACATACTATACATCCGTTTGCTTTTGTGAACTTGCGAGCGTTAGAAACTATACATTTACACCATAACTTACTTTCATATTTACATCAAAATACTTTTAACTTGCCTGTCTTGAAAACTTTGACTTTATCTGGTAACCCTTGGTACTGTGATTGTAGACTTAAAGATTTTCATGAATGGTTCTTGAATAGCAACTTAGGTAATGAAGAAATCTTCTGTGGGGGGCCAGAAAGGAAGGCACATACAGCATGGAGAACTATAAAAGGAAGTGAAATGGTATGTCCACCTCTAGCCACATCTATTCCTACCGTGATTAGGACCGAAACCGGAGCTGACATTTCATTCGGATGCTTTGCAAGAGGTGATCCAAAACCAATTATAACTTGGTCATTTCACAATGTAGATATAAATAACATAACAAACAAATTCAGTGACATAGTGATTTACAAGTATCAATCGGACCATTTTGATGAATATAGAGACGATTATATAAATAGAACGGCTCAATGGTTGAACGTAACAATTTCTAACGTAACGAGTGACTTAGCAGGGGAGTGGAAATGTAATGCTAAAAGTTCCATCGGAGAAGCTTCTGCTTATTTGACTATTTATTTGCCCAAGGCGAGAACTGCTACAGCTAGATTACCCCCAAATTATTCTACATTTTTTATACTGGGAGGTTCTATGCTAGCGATGACTGGGGCGGGATTCATAGCAGCATGCGTTTGTTGGAAAACAAAGCGCCGAAGAGTTCCTCCTAGTAGAAGTTTCACTGATCAGGAAAAGAAACTGTTAGATACTTCTTTGGCTGCTAGCTGCGATAGGACGAGTGCTGACTTAGGTTCTTCTTATGGATTTGAAATGTTCGATAGGTCAATGTCGATGGAAAGTGAGGATACCCGGTGCATGGAACCAGTTCAAATAACTATAGAGGGTCCTCCTGGTTCATTTCCTCCGCCTCCAGCAGAGTTTGCATTACCAGCTCCGTATGGAAATATTTTTATATCAGTTCAAGTTTCTGGACACAATGAAGAATATCCCGATTTGTTAAGCGGTGGGTCCACGTTACCGAGACGAAGCCGAACTTGTTTTTTGAAATCCGTCTATGATAATATGGGTCCTAGGATAACAGCGGCTGGTAGTTCCACGTGGTCGCTCCCTGGTGCCAATGCCGAGCAGAAAGTAGTTGATAAAAATAGTGATATAATTATGCCACTATCAACGTTTTCAACTGAATTCACGGCTCTATAAATGAAATTAATTAACTGTAAATAAATGCATACTACGGTTTTACTATATGGTTTATTTGCGTGTGAAAGTAATATACAATGAATTCTATTAACATATCAATCTTGTAGATCAAATACAACTACGGATTGCATAATTATTTTAATATACGATTGCTGTAACTGTATTTAATTAAAGTGACTGCTTTTTAGTAAGCACTAAAAATAGTACCATTTGAAACTTCCTTAAATAATGTCTAATTAGGTATTGATAATGTTTTAACTGTTAATAATTTACTATAAAGACTGTTTTTTTTATAATACTCAATCGCTTTTTGTCTCATTTAAAGATTTAGAATGTTGTATATACAATAATTTTGGTCTATTATACAATATTGTACAGTTTAGTGTAAAAGTTAAAATTATGGCTATTTGAAATTCTATTTGTAAAAAAATTTTTGATCAAGAACTGTTGCTTTAAAATCTACGAGAGAATTAAAAGAGTGCAACCTTTGTGAGCGAGTTTCATTTCTATGAATCTTTTTCCCTTTTTTTATCGTAATAAGCTTACGGCTACAATTTTTATAGAACTAGCCATTCCGCGAATTTGACTACGTAATTTACATCCTATTTCACCCACGTATACATACGATAATGGAATTAGCATCTGCAGGTTGAATATTGTAAATCAGATTCAGGTTTTCAGACAATAGCAGTTATTGAGTGACAATGGTTGGTTTATGTAAGAATTAGAGTTCTCAACTTTGTCCATAAAGAATGATTTAGTAAGTTAGAAAACATTTTAACCCATGCGAGTAGATTTTGCCAAACCCTAATACTTTTCACTACTATTTATGATCTTAAATATGTTTGAGAATTAACGTATTATATGTATATCTTACTGGTAATTTGTATAATCGGGCATTATATACAATACCTAGGTAATATATGCAATCCTTAAAACGTGTAGGTAATCTATTAAATATTATTTATTATATACTTTCCCTAGGTATTCTTTACAATACCGAATGCGCAGCCGTTAATGTATGTAAAAGACAACAGCAAGAAAGAGAGGAAAATAAGGGAATGCAGGCAAGAACCGTGTTGAGAGTATAAAATTCCTAATTATATTGTTAATTAAATTCATTAAAGAAGCCGTTCATATTATTTTTGTGGTCAGGTAAAAAATAACCTCTATAATTTCTGACCTATCACGTGACCAACATGTATATGATAAAAAGGTAGGCCGGTTAACATTATTTATTTTACATTTTGCTGGTGGAACAACTGGTACTCTCAATAGGAATTGTATCATTACCTAGGAAAAGTATGTAATAGATGTTATAATATTTCATACATTCCCTAGGTATTATAAGAATATCTAAATTACACAGATCGTCTGTAACATATACATACAACCATTATAGCGTGAGCAAAAATATGTGAAATAACATTAAAAACTTCAGAGCTTTTTTTATGAACATTGTACATATTCAACAGTATCAGACACAATTTTAACAGTTGGTCTATTAATAACATTATATGTTACTTCTTTGAAAAGTCACACTTATTAGAATCCTAGGCGGTTATATATCTAAAAAAAATTTGTCTTTGCTTTAATCTATAAATGAACGCTGCATAAACATCAACAGTAATATAAAACGTCTTATGATTATTATCCTCCATGAATCCATGATATCCCTCAATTCGGTTACCTTTAGAAACCACAGTAAAGCCATACATTTATTTTAATTGGAAATTAACTAAGTGACTCGTGGCGTGTTAATCTCGAACGTTACGGCTTCTTTTGACGAGGAAGGTAAGCGGTTTCACACATTCTACTACACAGATACTATTGGTATAAGAAGGATTTGATTGTTTGTATGTTTGGAAGGATAGGCTCTGATACTACTGGACCGATTTTAAAATGGTATTCACCTACGAGACACTACATCATATGCGGTGAACATAAGGTATATTTTATCTCAAAAACAGCAAATAAAGGAATAAAACTAGAGAACTGTCATTCGTTACTCGTTAGTTTCCTATATTAATAATAATAATATAATAATAACAATTTATTTTGCTAGAAACATGGTTACATAGATGTTAGGATATGGTATACTGGTCAGCATGTTTCGCTAAATATTCAGCATACAAAATATAAAAATATCAAAATTAATCTACGCTATTATAATTAATGAACAACTCATTTTCATTTTACATGTAAAAATTTATTCATTTGACATTAGCAGAATTGTGCGAAATGCGCAGATAAGCCATTAATAAAAGAAGAGCCAAAAAAAAGAAGGTAAAAATGGGTGTGGAAGTTTGTATAGAGAATTAAAAGGTAACAAAACTAATCGTCATTCTTTGTTATTCAATTTGTCATTGTAATTATATTAGATGCCGCTGGCGGAAAGCTAGTAGTATTATAAAAATTATAATAAATAGTTTATCTTTCAAAAACAAAAATGGGGAATCATAACTTCTATCCTATTTTTTAAATAAGAGAATGTTTGGTTTACCTTGCCAATTAGAATATTTTTTTTTGTTGGTTGTATCGGGGTCAAATGATATATCTTTGGTATTACTGTTTGACAAGATAATCTATCTATCTATATACTATAATAAAAACGTAACAGATCGATGTCTGTACATTGAAGCTGTTATGAAAAAAACTGTTATGGGGGACATATATAAGCGTAATAGAAAACAAAAAAACTGATTTTTAAATTTTTTGTCTGTTTGTCGGTTTATCTGTGCGTTTGTGCAAGATAATCTCAGAAACGGCTGAACTGATTTAAATGCAGTTTTCACTATTATATTGTGGTATTCTTCCGTTAACATATAGTGTAACAAATAAAAAAGTTATGTCAATTTGAAGTGACATGTTCGCCAAAATTGCTATGAAATAGAACTGTTTTATTAAATTTTCGTCTTTGATATATTGATCATCGTCATTAACTCTTTGACAGCCAAACTTCAGGGCCTCAGGCCTTTGTTTAATAATTTATGGTCACCCATCCCGTGAACAACTCTTGCCAAAATTGCTTAGCAATATCGATCGTGCGCAGCGGTGCTTATCCGTAGCACCACCGAGCTACGAATTAATATTGTCTATAAAATGATAATTTGTATGATGAAAGATAAAAAAATGAGATTCCAAAATTTTGACAACTCCAAAGTTGACCTCATTTATAAATGGCCAATGATAATAAATAGGGTTCAGGTTATAATAGACGTGTGGTATACGATCACGCGACTAGGAAAACAACCGAAAAGAGCCTTCCGATGATACAATTAAGCATCGAGTAGTTTACAGTGAACGCATATTTTTATCGAATTAGGTTTACGTCGTCATCAGGGCCAGCGGAGGTGGTTGGTAGGCCCCGCATTGCACAGTTTCGTCTGTCTGGGAGAGGCACTTTATTTACCCGAGCCTCTCCAATTTTCCATCTGCAAGGATCCAATACTTATCCAATACTTGAGTGCTTGCCGGTACCAATGGTCCAATACTTGAGTGTTCTGGTGACGCGGCCATAGCTTGCCGGGATTCATTTCCGGTGACGGTGTAGCGTACGGGTTTTGGTGTGTAGACCTCTGAGGACCCACTGGGCAACTCACTTTCGTGTTCACGAAGGAGAATCCTACTCACCCACTGTTTCTTGCCACGTAGCAGAGACATTGTCAGAAGCTTTTCCACGACGTTAGAAAGTTAGATTCACGTCAACTGAAGTTAAGAACGTAAAGACAACTCGATATATATATATTATATTATTTACGTTATATATATTTTTTCTCTTATTCCAATTTTTTATGTCACAGGATGGGTGACCAAAAAATACTATCTCAAACAACGCCAAGCTTTGTAAGGCACGTAAAGCGATTGGTCCCGGTTGTATTTGCAGTCGTAAATATCCTCCAATTCGCATTGGGCCAGCATGGAGGGTCGTGGCCCATCCTCCTTAATAATCCATAATAAGGCTCTTGCAGTTGGTGACGTAAAAGGGCTAATGATGAATCATCATCATCAGCCCTTTGAATTTGAAAAATCTGACGGGAGCTCAATTAAGATGTATGTGCTAGTAGACGATTTCCTTCGAGTGTGGAAAGTCGAAATTAAAATATGAATATATTTTTTTAAATCAATAAATCAAACTCCACATATCTTCCATCAGACATGTACGCGAAGCGTATTTAACTACCCATCACCAGGCTCATGCACTATAAAGTTGAATCTGAAGCATTTACCGTCAAGGACAATCTCTTGAGCTCTCGGGGAACTCATACAACAAGCGTTTGATCCCACGAAACTTCTGAAGATCGCATAGCGCGTCTAACTGCTGATCGTAACATACATGCAGTATGGTATGAGTATGAAACTTCATTTGATAGAGAAATGCGCTTAGTCTCTGAAAGAGCTCGCAGTTTGTACAATAGAGATCGAGAAAGTAGTTTCGATTATCGCCAACCCGTGTTGCCTTCATACAAAATTATAGCCTATGACATCCGTAATGTAGCTTGCCGTAGTTAGAATCGCTCTGAAACTATCGGGTCAGTAGTTTTGAGGCAAATTCGATGCAAACAAACAAACAACCATATTTAATATTAGTATATCTATTCCTATTTATTATATAAGTATATCTTAGGTTCGATGGCGTAGTGGGCTAGCGTATTCGGTTTAAATTGTAGTGACATAAATAAGTAAAATACTGCACAACAAGGACATTTGAATAGTTATTTTACATAACTAAGTAGGTACAAACGGCAAACTCATCGCTAAGCGATGTCTTCCAGACAACCCATGGAAAATAGAACAATAAATAGCCAAATGTGCCTACAAGTAGTTAAATAATAATAATTTAAAAGAAGGACAGTTTCAAGGTACTTATATAATTCTCAGCCACAAGCGACAACCAGAGCGCGAGACACGAGAAAAATATAGAAAAAGTACATTCGTAAGGACAGGATGGGTGACCAAAACATTATTATGCACAATGCACGTTAAGTTGTTAGTCCTGGCTGCATTAGCAACGTTAACATTAAGCCTGCGTAATGGGTTATGGCCCATAGATCTTATTCGATTCGACTCCATTCACAGGAATAAAAGAATTCTACCAAAATACTTACCACGCAGACGAAGTTGCAGGCACAGGTAGTTTTTATAATATACCTCTAGTTCTAGTTCTACGAAAACCCACTATGTAAATTCTCGACTGATAAATAATAAATAGGTTAAATCTCAAATGGAATTCAGGATCAAAAATGTAGATAAAGTAAAGAAAATCAAAATTTGAATGAATAATGAATAATTTGTTCAAAGACAAATGTACAAGACCTGCCTATTTTGTTACGAATCTCGAATCTACTCGATTTTAGAGTACTGGATGCTTTTCAATTGAAATCCGTGGCTGTCTACCCAGAGCCCTAATTCTGTTAACGTTAACTGTAATTATAGCTTATCATTAGCGCTACTATAAGAACTTTTTTGACAAAGTTCTTTTTTATTGTGGCACTACAAACTGCTATACATACACCTGTAGTGCGACCGCATTACTCTCTAGTCTAGCCATAGCATATTATATTTTAGCAATGT